TTGAGTGCGATAGAGCGTATTATAATTATAGCGACTCCTGATATAACCACGTACTGTGCAGAAAATGCAAAAGTCTCTACATGTTTAATTTGGAGAAAGAAGTAAATAATTTTGATCTCACAGGCACTCAATCCTGCGGGTAAAGGCTATCTAAAAAACTCGCTAAGAGGAGAAACTTGGGATATTGAGCATAAAACAAGCTCTATATAGTTAGCAAGTTGTAAGGTATATGGAGGAAAAACATGGCGGTGATTTTGCATCCACGAAAGTAAATTTTATGCATATTGCGAAAATTTTCGAATTAATCTAGAAGAGTCTTTATCTTTGTGTAAAGAACAAATATTGGGTAACTTCTTAAATGAGGTTAGATAACTCAATTGCTTAAAACCATGGAAGGCGAAGGATTCAGAAGCATTCTGATTATGGAAAAATTGAATGGACAGTTGTGCACGCCATTCGATAAGTTTTAAAACACTTACGTGATGATACCCTCCTCAGTAGCGCTTCCTGCTTTGATGTTTTGGTTTATAAGAAAAATTTTTACTAACAGAAAATACGTGCTAAAAAGAGAACAAATTCACTGGACATTTTCAAGAAATATCTTAATAACCGAATATGAACCGTCACAGCAAGATCAGGTCCGTTATGAAATATCACAAGGATTCTGTGAAAAGAGAAAGTTTTTAATTCATTAAAATTTTGATTACTTCTCTTTAAGAGGAGAAACTTGGGATATTGAGCATAAACAAGCTCTACACAGTTAGCAAGGTATAAGGTATATGGAGAAAAAACATGGCGATGATATTGCATCCACGAAAGTCAAGAAGCATTCTGATTATGGAAAAATTGAAGGGACAGTTGTGCACGCCATTCGATAAGTTTTAAAACACATACGTGATGATACCCTCCTCAGTAGCGCTTCCTGCTTTGATGTTTTGGTTTTTAGGAAAATTTATACTAACAGAAAATACTTGCTAAAAAGAGAACAGATTCATCGGACATTTTCAAGAGATATCTTAATAACCGAATATGAACCTTTACAGCAAGATCAGGTCCGTTATGAAATATCACAAGGATTCTGTTTCGTGCAGGTGACAAGAGAAAGTTGTTAATTCATTAAAATTTTGATTACGATGTACTGGTCATGATGTCATATAATTATCGTTTCACGAAAAAGGAAGACGCTTCAATTCAACAGAAAGTAGAAAAAGACCAATTTCGATTAAGTCACAGACCCTATAAATTAAAAGTCTATAAAGTAATAACTTTTAATTTTCTAACATGTTTTTACTTAAAAGAAAAGCGGTCTTTTTCGTTCACTTAAACATGACTATGAGATATTGAACTGATTTCATTCACACTTTTTATTCACCCTTTAACAGGGAATTTTATTTCACGCCATTTTCCATGTTCAAAATAAATATATTACGTTAACTGTCAATAACGCGGGAAAAATCAACCTACGCTCTTGGTCCCTAATATTTTGATCAAAATATTTTTTACTTTTTTACGAATATGTCGAATTTTCCAAACACAAATGAATGGGTTTGAGCAAAATTGTATTTTTCTAACTTCAACCCCAGTATCTGATGATAAAATGTCACAAGAAGAACAGGAAAGTTGAAAATCAAGTAAACTCCAGCGACGAGAGAGATGTCCTTCGCTAATTTGGCTTCTCTTTGTCTTTTTAGATTAATACTGAGAAGCCTGAAGTTGTGCTTAAAGTTGTCTGCGATATCGTCGCACAGTGATTGTTATTCCAATCTGAGTTGCCGTCGAAAAAAAGAGAGAAATCCTGCATAGAATGAGTTGAGTACCTCTTACTTCTTGATTGATTTTAGCCCATTGCAGAACACTAAGTAAAATATTCACCGTCCATATCCCGATAACGTATTCCACGATACGCTTTCGAGAGAAAACTGTAGTGTATATGCCAGGGAATCGAACTGCCACAAATCGCTCAAAGCTGATTGCGGTTAGTGTCATACAAGACACTCCAAAACAAATGTAAAAAGCGACAATGTAGAGAACCATTGCATAACATGGAACTCCTTGATGTTGGTTTTCCAAGAGCCTGTAGCTGATATAGCCTGGTTGGGTTGTTAAGCCGACTAAAACATCAGACAGCGCTAAAGAGGCAATTAATAGATTGGAAGGAGATCGAAGACGACTGCAGTTAATGATTGCCACAAGGATCAGTACATTCGCGATGATGGCATTTGGAGCAACTAGGATATTGATGACTGTCGTTATGAGATTCCTCGTAAAACGCTCTGAAGCTGTTTGAAAAACTGGATCCGGAAGATTAAAACAGTGCGAATTTCTCACAGTTGTGTTCAGATTCATTTAGTACAATATGTAAGCTGCGGATACCTCACAATGTTTCCTAAAATATCTCAATGGGTTTCAACTTCAACGTGCAATTTCTAGTTATCAGCCAAAAAGTTGATTTTAATTATTTTCCCGTTTAATAAAGCGGAAAATAGGTAGTCTAATATCGCATTATCATAATGGCAGGTGAGTGCAATACTAAAATTATGTCTTCTTCATGCCGTAAGGACCTTAAACGTCACTCAAAAAGTACATATCTTGAAACTGAAATTCAAAGATCATAGCATCAAGTCTCTTTATATTCTCATGTCAGGAAGCAAATTGTAATTTGAGTTTTCTTAACCATTTTCCTTCTTAATCTAATGATCAATGTCATGACCGTTCACACCAACAATCTACATAATGTGTTCGGACAATTAAATTAACTTTCCTCAATTCTCATTCTTGCTGTGCCTAAGTTTTGTGTGGGTAAATGTCTTGCTGAGCAGGTGCGATATCAAAAAAAAAAAAAACGCCCCATCGAAACTGAACAGGAAAAACTCAAGCAGCTGTCTTGAGGGCATGTTTCAACAATTAATGCATACGTGGTAAGGCTTCCACTGGGATTAGAGATAAAGTAAAACTGAGCCCGGCAGGTGTGATTTAGCGATTTGGTATGGCTGCCATCATATCCAGGCAGCGAATCAACAAAGCTTGATGGTAATTACTTTGTGCAAGTAGTTACTTTGTGCAAGTAATTACTTTGTGCAAGTAATTACTTTGTGCAAGTGATTACTTTGTGCAAAAAATTATTGCACAAAGTTAAAGATAATGAAAAAAAGAAATCTCGTAACTTATACACTGATGCAGATTTTAGCTTCTGAA